GGTCCCCTCCTCCACCCTTGCCCTGTGGAAAATCGCGCCAATCCTTCCTTTCCCTCTGCTTTTACTCTCCCCTCCTCCCCCTTTAACCGACCGATTCGGGGCCACGATTCTAAATATTTGGGGTACGAATTAAAATCGGTTCGGAAAAAGAAGAGCGGAAGTTTGTATTTTTCTTCCCTTTCTTTTGTAAATTTCTTTATTAGCCGATCGAAGAAACGCGTATTCCCCTCTCTCCCAATGTCAATAATATTTCAGAGAGGTTTAAGAAAATTCGCTTCTTTTAAATACGTTCCATTGTTCGACGAGATCGAAACTGTGCAACGAGAATCCCAGGTGGCGAGGGTCAAGTTTACGATTATATTACGCGCTTAGCTACAAATTTTCGAGTGAAAGGAGCACGATTTTTCACGAAAACCAACCGTGGTTTCCTTCGACGACACTTGGCCTTCGAACATTGACTCATTGTGCGTCCGAATAGATGATTCATGGGAGTGTGTTTCTCTGCTCGTCGTTGTTCTCAAAAATTTTTCCTTTCCTTTTCTTTTTAATTCCTTCTTTGAGATAGGCGGGAAATGAAATAGGCTTACCTGTCCATGTTGTTCTGCAGCTCGACCTTTATCGGACTATTCCCCGTGGACTGATTCTTGTTGTTGTACTCATTCTTCGGTATCTCTGAAAATAGAGGGAGCAACGATAGAGACAATTTGTTACGTTGTGCAGATCGAGGAAATTTCTCGTGGGAGACGGTGCCCTACTTTTTCCATAATCTCACTTTTATATACGCTCTTCCCTTTGCTCAGACCAACGTCTTCCAATATCCTCTTAACGCGAATAATTTATCCGCACGTTAGAAAAGAGTCGAATGACGATCCTTTTAATTTTCGAAATTTCAAATTTCATCACTCGACCATAAATGTGTAAATAAAATTTTGGATCGAAGTTTTCATCGTTTTTTTTTTTAATAACGTTGAATACATTAGACACATTACATTGTTGTATTGGTTAAATAATAACTAATACAATCGTGCAACGACTGCCAGATCAATAATTGAAACTTATTTATAATTATATTCACCAAGTCTTCGAATATACGATTCAACATACGATTTCGATATAGAAGGATAGATTCTTATTTTTAACCAGCTTTCTAATTACCCAAGATGCGTATAATTAAGAGGGAAGAATGGATCGAAACGAGCGTCCATCCTTTTTATCCCCTTTTTTACCCGATATGGAAACGGTTTTGCGATGCCAGACGCGACGCCCTTTTCTTTTTCACCATTCGGGCTCGATACACGCGAGAGGAGGCGGAGGGAAAAGAAGCGGGTCCCGCGTTGAATCGATAAGTACATGATTCATCGTGGTTTCGGTTTGAATTTCAAGTATCGAAGGTGCATAAGAAAAAAAAAAAAAAAAAAAA